ACTGCTGACACGCTCCTCGTCGGAGCGGCTCTCGTTCACGGCCTTTAGCCCGTACGCCACAGCCGTCATCCCATTTTTGTGCCGCAGGTCGAGGAGTGCCCCGCGCTGCAGGAGGATGTCGCAAGTGGCCGCGTTGGAGTTGATGACCGCGCTCATGAGAGGCGTGCGACCGTAATGGTTGGGATGGTCGATCGACGCGCCGCAATTGAGGAGGTGGTCAATCATTGCCCGAACCACAGTCGAGTCCTTTGCGAACCCGCACGCAGCAGTGAGCGCCGTGTATCCGTTCACCGCACTACACTTGGCATATGCGTTTGGGTCAGCACCCGCCTCTAGCAGCGTCATGAGCAGAGGAAGATCGCAACGGTATGCGGCGGTGCAGAGATTGGCAGCCGTCGGCGTGCGATTGTCATTCGCATCACTGGGGAAATTTGACTTGGTTTGGGGGCTCGCAGCCATCGGCGTGCGCTGATCGCTTTGCGTTTTGGGGAGCGCCGGCGGAGTTCTCGTAAGATGCGATTACGCCGGGATCACGGGATGCGCGCCACCCGTCGCTACCCAACGCGGCCAAAGGATATCCACCTCGAGAACCTCGAGATTCCCGTTTCCGCAGGCGAAAGGACTTGGAGCACTTGGAGTGCGGTTAGTAGCCTCACATCCAGGACCGGGGAGCTCAGAAGCGCACCCAGTTGGCCGGATGATCGGGATCGGGTTACCGGCTAGAGCGCGCCCGCCGGCGCGCTCTAGCCCTCGGGCAAGAGAGCCCTAGCCCCGTGGGTGGGAACGTGGGTAGAACTCAGTCGCCGTTCTTAGCTGCGCCCGCGTCGTGCCGTTTGCCTCGCATAGCACCGCCGCCCTCTCCGACCAGTGCCGAAATAGTTGGAGTGCGCTTGGAGCACTTGGAAGCCCGGCCGCCTTTGAGCAACTGTCACCGCTAGCCCTGACGGCACCGAGCACAGCTTTGCAAGAGGCCATGAAGTGGCAGGCGGTCGCGGGGTGGAGCGGGTCAGCCACGGCGTCAAACACGAGCAGCAGGGCATCCTGCGGCCGATCTGTCAGGCAGCACGTGATTGGACCGTCCTGCGGCTGGTTGCTGCACGTCATTGTCCGGTAGCGGCCGCCCATGTTTTTGGACGTCCCCACGCCAAGTTTCCGCTGGTTTCCGCTCACGGAGAGAGAGAGAGAGAGAGAGAGAGAGAGAGAGAGAGAGAGAGAGAGAGAGAGAGAGAGAGAGACAGAGAGAGAGAGAGAGAGAGAGAGCTAGAGAGAGATACACAGAGCGATAGAGAGAGACAGAGAGAGA